CCAGAGAGTTTTGGTTTATATAGGTTAGATCTACTGACAGTTGCTCATTAAAACTGTACAATTGTAGGGGTGGGCATTTGTCAGGGCTGCTCATTCACCCTTGGGACACCCCCATGCTATATCAGAGTGCCTTGGTTCGAGTCTTGGCTCCTCTGCTTCTGATCCAGCTTCCTATTAACCCACACCCTAGGAGGCAGCAGATGAAGTTCAAGTACTTGCGTTCCTGCCACCCAAGGTGGGCTCCTGGCCTGGTCTGGCCTGGCTCTGACTGTGGCAGGCATTTGGGGAGTGAACTAAACGATGGAAACTCTCTGTCTCTCTCTGCCTTTCAAACAAATTTTTAAAATTTCAAACTGTACAATTTAAAAAGTTATTACTTTTATCTGTAAATCACAATATTCAACACAAGTTGCACTTTTTTTTATGAAAAATAGCTGTAGTTTCAAAACGAAACATTGCATGAGAAGAGGGAAGTTGCTGCTTTACATTTCTGCAAACCTCCATGATGCCTGACCTAATAGAATGCAGCTGCATTCTCAAATCTGCTTCTGCATTTTATCTGTTGCAATAGGTTGCTTTGGTTAAAGATGTACAGAGAGGAAATCCAGTCTCACACAGATATATACTTGGAGGCAGGAGGAAATTAGCATCTTCAGATAACTGTGGATATTCATCTCTGATCGTACACTAAAATGTGAGGAGTTTTTTATTTTTTAAAAAAGTTATTATTGTTCTAATTATATTTATGGGTATATTGTAACAATTTGATACATATATTCATGTGTGTGATGATCAAATTAGCTTAGTAAAAGTGTGTTCATCTCCTTAAGCTTTAAGATTCACAATAACTGTAGATATTTATGGGATACAGAGTGATGTTTCGATCAATGACAACTGGCAAAATCAGGCTAATTCACATTTTTCTCTCCCCAACATTTATCACTGTGATACCCTTTGTATGTGGAGTCTATGAGTGCCTGTCTTTTATTTATTCATAAAATGTGTAACAGTTTATTGTAAATGTGGTCCCCCTGCTGTGCCAGGGAACACTAGAACATACTCTTTTTTACCACTGTCTTGGTATTCCCTATCCAACCAGCCTCTCTGCATACCCCCTTCTCAACATCCAGGAACCCCTATTCTACATTCAGATCAATTTTTTTAGCTTCAACATAGGAGAGAGAAAATGCAGCATTTGTCTGTTTCTGTTGGACTTATTCACAACATAATGTCCTCTAGTTCCATCCATTTTCCTGCAAATGATAGGATACCATCCTTTTTTAAAAAATAGATAAATAAGATTCCACTGTATATATCTACTATATTTTCTCTATCTGTTTAGTTATTCATGGGCAGTTAGGTTCATTTTTGTGAATAGTGCAGCAATAAACACAGGAGTACAGGTATCTCTTTGATTTCTTTAAGATGTATATCCAGAAGTGGGATAACTGGATCATATGGTATATCTAATTTTATTTTTTTGGGGGGAAACTTCACATAGCAAAAAGAAAGTGATAGTTTCTTAAAGGTTATTTGGAGTGTGGAATCTGCAACCATAACCATGAACTTTTCAAGTAAAATCCATTGGTCTACCTTGTACTTTTAAGAAGATCTTTTATTACAGCACTATTTAGTAACACCATGCATTGATCATTTGAAAGATATTCGTTCAAGGTATTATGCAAATCTTCCAAAATGTTGACACAATATCAAAATGTCACATGTATTAACGTCACCACAGATCTCATCAGAAAAGCCTTTAGGTATTAGCAAGCTGTTAAACTCATGGTGATGGATACAAGTTATCTCAAATTCTAATTTCTGCTTGTAAGTGCAAGTGTGGGCATTGCCAAAACACACTATGCATTGTTTTCCTTGAGGTCACAGGCTCATGTCTTTGAGAAGTACCCAAGTCTGAGTTTGTCTGTCAGTCATTCCTTAAAGAAAAAGTCATGTTTGATGAGGAATAGCAGCTATTTCAAACAATCTCATGAGTGATTTTCCTTCAGACAACGGATGCACCTAAGTGTGCAGCAGAAGTGCTTTATATGTACCTACCACTTTGTCACAAAGACTATTTGAAAGGCTTGTACTCAAGGGTTGAGATTTAATAAAATTAATAATTTTTACTGCTCCATCAAGGACATTCTTAACCTTTCTTTTTTTTTTTTTCTTTCTCTAAGCACATGGCAGTGAAGAACACCAAGACTATCACTGCATTTTGGTGCCTGTGCCTTGATTTAGGCTAAGGCACCTGCATTTATCTGCCATTGCTTTTGCATCATTACTGCAAATGTAAACAAAGGTTCAAGGACAAAGAAGCCCTTGGTGTTATGATGAGAATGATTTTGACCTCCCGGACAATGCTGCTCTCTTTTTCTAATCCACCTTTAGCAATACCTGAGCGTGGAGTGAATTTACGCTTGTGAAAGCAAGCGCTTATGAAACATCTTCTTAGAATGCACAATCTATTTTAATCTTACATTTGGTAGGTAATGGAGATGGAGGTGGAGAAAGTGCTCTAATTATTAAGAAAAGATAAGCTTTTAAAATCTTTGTCCATGGGAGTGATTCAAACAGAATATTGCAACCATGGTCCACAATAATCCCTGCTAACAGTTCGTAGCTTTGGGCCTTCAAAAGGCGTACATTCTCAAAATCACTTACTCATTTCATATTAAAACCCATTATAGTAACCTTCAGCAATTTATCTTCCTAATATTTTAGGTTAGTCTTTCATTAAAATTAGTTTGTGTTGCCTGAGCAGAGAGCAATTGAGGATGAGATGCAAATGACCTTGAAGAGTGTTTTATAACACAGAGATACCAACGTGAGATTTAAACAGAGATTGTCCTGTCCTTATTTCCATTTCCATTGTTGTGTACAACTTCAAATAATTTTTGGAAAGAGGTGGAGGTATGAATAAATTCAATTTAAAAATGCTTTTGGCTGTTGATAGAACACCTATATAATTAAAAGTTGACAGCATTTGCCTCCATGCCTTTAAAAGGTCGCAGGAAATCTACTCTGTTTTGAGGAAAGGCCTAAAGTGTGTTTTCAATTACAGCGTAGTAAACATTGCAAGCAGTCACAGCAATTCAGGGAGAGGTGGTGAGGTGTCCATTGCAGAATAGTGATACTCAGCATCCCAGGCAAAGGTTCTGAGGAAGCAGTGGTGGGGTGTCAGGACCTTCTGTGTACCCTGTATTAGGTGGGAAGGATCCTACACACTCAGGGCAGTGGGTTGACTTAGAATGAATGATGTATCATTAGTCTGATGTATCATTCAAATATCAATTTCAAGTGCAGCGCTACTGACAATAGACAGAATCATGGCCAGCTGAATTTGTTCTGAATTGAAAGGTAGTTCTACTTCAAATGATAACACAGAGAAACTTCACGGACTACTTTTGTCTGTTTGTTTGTTTTGTTTTAATCAACATTCCAGGAAGCAGTGTTTTAAGGCTAAGGAAAACCATGTTAAACTTGCCTGCTCTCTGTTTTGGTTTTAGATTGAACTCAAGCAGGTGTTTTAAACTATTGCTTCATTCAGATGGCACACTTGTCGCTGGGAGGCTAGTTCTTCCAGTGGGAGCTGGCAGGGAGGGGTTCATCCTGAGATTTCATTATCAATGAAAGACATCTTTGGGGAGATACAGTGCTCTTTAAGCTTTGCTAATAAAAGTGTGCACTATAAAGCCCTATTGTTATTTTCAAAGGAGTGCTTTGGAACTTAACCCCCATGGCTCTCTGTAACACCACTGTAGTTGTCAGAACTAAGTCAGAACCTCAAAGAGACATCTGTTATTCACGTAAACTTATAGAGTGTCATTTGAATGTTCTCTATCTGCACCATGCCTCCACCTCCTCTGAGGGAAAAGTCTATTTAAAAATTGGTAGGAAAATATTTAACATAATAAGATGATGAGTCAGTTCTTCAAAAGCTAAAAAGGGAAGATGTAGTTAAATAATGCACCTTTTTATTTTTTAGCTACATCTGACTCATGACACATAATGTATTCTGCTAAGTTCAAAGTTTCCCTTGACAAAGAGAGTTTTATGAAACAACTCTTCTTCAGACCATTTTTTACTTCAATTATAGTAGCAGGTTTTGGAGTTTAAATCATTAACAACCTCTGAGTGAACTTTTATCCAAATGACTGCAAGTCACAAAGAGACCCAAGTCCTCTTTCACCAACTACCTTTTGTGCCAGAGTGAGACCCGTCCTTTTCTGTTTTTTTCCCCTCTCTCTCTGCTGCTCTTTGAAGAGCGATGTGTGATTTGTAAAGTAATCAAAGTGTGCTTCAGCTAATGAAAAGTATCTTGGGCTCATAGAATGCACACTGGCATTGGTGCAGGGTAAACTTCGCCTACCTGCTTTGCTGCTGGGGAGAACTGGACATTTCAGAAGTCAGGATTGCTGTGCCTGGTGCAGGAGTATCAGGTAGCACTGGAACCACCCATCAGGGGTGACCTAATCTTATTTTCCCCCTTTGTCAAGGGGCTGTAATTCTCATTTAGGACAGCATTTTTCAGTTTTAACTCCACTGGACAACTCCAAAAACCGAGCCACTCACACCATCCACCTCCTTATCGCCTGCACCATATGCTGTCTTTTTATTTTTTAAAAAATTATTTTTATGGGCACGTTTTGGGAGAGTGTAGCCCCCAGAGTCCAGGTGATGGGGGTGAGGGAGTCCTCCTCTGAGCGACCAAAGCCTTGAAGCCTTTTATACAGAACAAAACGCAGTGGAATAAACAAAAGAAAGTTCAGAGCAAAACCTCTCTCCTCTTCAGAAATCAGAAAAATAATGAGCCGATCGTGGTCGAAAGAGTGGGAAAAACTTTTTTCCCCCTAGATGTGGCGACTAGCGGGATAGACGCGAAGAACTCCATCCCACCCCCGCGCGCGCGCCCCCCAGTCTCTGCAGACCGAGCGGTTGTAAATCTGAGGCTGAGTCCGCCCTGGGAGCCTAGGGCACCTTCCTCTTGGCTGTGTGTGTGTGTATGTGTGTGTGTGTGTGCGCGCGCGTGTGTGTGTCTAGCTCTCGCTCTTTCCCTCAGTCTGTGCTTCTGTGTGTGTGTGAGTGTGTGTGTGACAGAGAGAGAGAGCGCGCGAGAGGAGAGAGAGAGAGCGAGAAAGAGAGCGAGCGAGCGAGAGAGCGAGCTGCGAGCTGTGCTGCCGCCGCCGCTGCCCTTTGATCCCGACATTAGTGTTAGGGGCTCGGAGACACAGAGCGCGGCCATAGACACCGCCGCACCGGCACTCATTTATTTATACCTCCCATCACACACGCGAGCACAGGACACACACACACTCACACCTATTAGATCCGTTTCCATTGAAGAATATTACGCTCGCGGACAAGCCAGGTGCACGACCAAAAATTTAAAAAAAAAAAAAAAAAGAAAGGAAAGAAAAGAAGAAAACCCCTCTTCTGGCTCCAGGAAACCAGCTTCAACCCATTGCCCACAGCGGAGAGAAGGGGTTTCCCCCTGCCCGCCCGCCCGCCCCCCAACTACCTCCCTGCTCCTGCCAGTGTCTGCCTCTGCCCCCACGGGGGTTTATTTGATCTCACATTAACCGAGGAGGAGAATGTGAGAAAAGGGGGAAAATGCCCAGGAGGAAGCAGGAGCAGCCCAAGCGCCTTCCCTCACGTAAGTCATCCCTTCTCCACCTCCTCTCGTGCCATTTTCTCGCCCTCCCTCTCCTCTTTCCCCTCCGCAGCCTCCTCCGTTGTTTTCTGCATTAGTTTAGGGTTACAGAGGTGAAACTGACAAAGACACAGCCCGGGTTACTCCTCGTTTAGGTCTATGCTGAGGCAGCCATGTTGGTGATGATCAGCCCCGTGCCCTTTCTATTCTCTCTCTCTTTTTCTTTCTTTCTCTCACCCCCCCTCTTTTTTCCCTTCAGATCGGGCTTTTTTTCCCCGTCCCCTCCCCCTCCCCCTCCTCACTCCGGGTTGCTGGGGGGAGGGGGCGGGAGAAGGGAGGAGGGGAGTAGTGTGGATGCCGGGGGTTTTTTAATGGGGGGGGGTGGAGGAGGAGGTGGGAGAGGTTGGAATCTTTAAAAAAAAAAAAAAATTCCTTGTGGATCCCGGTGCCCGAGGGTGCGGGGGTCGGGGCGCGCGGAGGGCCGGGGGCCGTGACATGGCGTTTGGGGGGTGCCGGGGCGAGGGCGCGCGGCCGCCCGCCGGGCTCGGGATCCAGGGAGAGGTCCGTCTCCGGCTAAAGGTTGCGCCGGGGTTGGTCGGCCCCGGAGCCGCCGGCGGCAGCGGCGGCGGCGGCGGCTGGAGCAGGAGGAGGCGGAGGTGGAGGAGGCGGCGGCGGAGGAGGGGAGTCGGGGGCGGGCGAGGCGGGAGCGGCCGGGGAGGGTGTGGGGGCACCGCACACAAACACACGGGCACACACGCGCCGCCGGGCGGGCTGCTCCCGCGGCGCCGGGGCGAGGGGGCGCGCCGGGGCGCTGAGGTGGAGGGGGGGCGCGGGTGTTGCGGGGCGGCCGGGCGGGGGGCGAGGCCGGGCAGCGGCGGGCGGATGTGGGGTGCGGGAGCTGCGCCGAGGCGGAGGCAGGAGGCAGGGCGGCTCGCGGCGCGCGAGGTCCCTGCAGAGGCGAGGGGAGGGAGGAGCAGGGCTCCTGGCCGCAATAAAATGCGGGGTCAGTGGGAGCAGACGGAGCCGGGCGAGACTTCGGGCTCTCAGAACCCCCTCCCCGGCGAGCCTGAGCAGAGTCCAGGACTAAAGTGCATCACAGCCCTCCCGGGCGGCAGCCACACACACCAACTGGAGACACACACCCGGCGGCACGGCCCGGTCCCCGTCCCCTCCTCCACCCGCGCCCCCGGTCCCTCAGCGCCCGCCCTCCGGCTTTTCTTTGCGAGACTCTTAACTTTTCCCCCACTCCCTCTCCAGCTCCCCCCCCCCCCCCAATCTTTCTCCGCTTTGAGTGTTCCGAGATGCTGCTAAAGCTAAAAGTGCAGGAGAAAGAAGCAACTAAAAATATCCCCCGGGGCCGCCCGGCTCCTTGAATGCAGGGAAGAGGGGGCAGGGGAGAAGGCGTGGGGCGGGGTGACGGGAGGAGGGGACGCGGGAGGCGCCGGAGGGAGGGGTCGGGGGAGACGGAGGGTCAATTTCTCCTCTCGCTCCCCCCCCCCCCCCGCGCCGCTCCCCTCTCTGCCGGCGGTTTGGCGCTGCCGGGAGCCGATCCTGCAAAAACCCGGGCTGGGGGGTTGGGGGAGCGGAGCCGGAGCGCCCGCCCGCCCGGGTGTCAGGCCGACGTGGTCGGTCACCTGAAGTTCACGGAGGGTGGGGGAAGGGTTAAGGTTATGGTGTCTCGGGCTCGGGCAGCGCGCGAGCGTGTGCGTTTCCGCTGCAGACAGGCAGCGCGATCGATCTCCCCCTCACGGAATCGCCGCGGCGGGGCCCGGCCCGGGGGACCGCCGGGGCGGCGAGGGGGGCGCGGGGCTGCCGGGGCCGGGCGCCCCCGCGGCTCCGTGTCGCCCCGGGGCCGCGGCCGAAGTGGCGAGCAAGGGCACTTGCAGGCAGTCAGCTAGCTCCGCAAACATTCCTCTTTTTCTTTCCCTTTCCCGGTACGCAGGAGTCGACGCGCAGGGCTGGGGTTGTGCTTTTTTTCCCCTTCCTTTAAAAAAAAAAAAAAAGCCCCTGTGCAGCCCTTTCTTCGCCTGCCCGCTAGAGGTTCTGAGGATAATATCACATATGTAATCTATATGCACATGAAATCCCTGGCAGGCGGCGGCGTGCGTGGGGAAGTGCCGTGCGGTGAGGGAGCCGGCGGCCGACCGGGGGCCGGGCGACTCGCCGCACTTGGTGGCGGAGTGTGTGCGTGCACATGGCCGGCCCGCCGCGCTCCCGGGCCCCAGCCGGGGGCGTGCGGGGGAGGCCGAGGAGGAGGCGGCGGGAAGCCTTGCGGGGGTGGGGGCGGGGGGTCGGGGGAGGCCTGCCCTGCTCGGACAAAATGGGCTTCAGTGTTCCCTGCGAACTTGCCCTTAGATGGCAACTTTGGGAGCTGGTGAGCTTGTGTGCGAAAACCAGGGCAGTGAGGTTATTTGGTCATTTTTCCCTTCTCTCCCCCTGCCTTAAAAAAAAAAATACTGACGGGGTGAGAGGGAGGGTGGGAGAGGAGAAGGGATTTATCTGTTTGGGCTGTGACGGAGATGGAACGCCTTCCGTCCCGTTGTGTGGAGCGCAGCCGGGCAGCTGCAGCCTGCCCTGCTGGTGACCTTGACCCTGACCTCCTGCGACTACCCTCTCTGTCTGAGAGGAAATTCAGGCTCCATTTTAGCTCGAGTGCTCGGTGGGCCTCTCCTGCGCCTTGGTGCCTGGTGATTAAGTTATATTTTGAGAGTGGGCTCTCCCACCCTGTTCTCTAATTGAATACTGTTATCCACTCAAAAAAAAAAAAAAATCCCCTCCCTCTTCCAGTCACATAAAGCCACTTTTTACCGAAGTAAGAAGCAATTACCTCTGGAAACACTGTAAATGTCCCTCCAGCCTTAATTTGCGAAGCTTTTCCACTTACCTTTGCATTGAATGGATTTTTGTGGATGTGTGCCGCCTGCTCCAAGCATGGTTTACACATGTTTTGTAAGCAATTTGCATTTGGACTAAGAGCAATTTCTGGGCAAATGGTGTATTTTGCAATTCAGTCACAGTAACCCAGGGCTTGCTAAGTGCCCAGTGAGTCTTGAAAAAACTGGCAAGTGCTGTCGATGTCATAAATATTGACAGGGAGGAGAGGAGTGGCGGGGGGGGGGGGGGGGTGGAGGACAGGAATTAGTGTCTTAATTTGTATTTCATGTCTAATATGCTTAATTGTGGTCCTGAATCCCAGTTCTAATGCTTAGCGGTTTGCTTGTTTGTTTATATATGGAGGATGGATTTGTTTTGTATTAAAATGTAGGAAGTCTAGGGATTAAAGTTGCCTGATAGAAGGCATGCTGGGGTTTTAACAAGTTAGAGAGACAGAGCTAGAAGTTGACCCTAAAAGAAAGGAGTGATGGGTGTAATAGGTTGGAGTGTTGCGCCCTACTGAGTAAATTCTAGAGTGGTTAACAGCTATTATTGGTATTGTTTTTAAGAATCCATAGAACCTGCACAGTGCAAATTAGAATGCAAAAGAAAACGAGTGCAAACTGAATGTATAGAAAATTTGGAATGCTTTTCATTTCCTCTTTGGTCTCTCCTTGCCTCTGGTTCCGCCAGCCGCATGACTAAACAGTTCTAAAGCCTACAGGGTCGCTACTGAGAGACTCTTTTCCGTGTGTTTGAGTTCATCTCTGTATTATTAAGTGTAATACTGGCCAGGCACAGCCTGGATGGACAAAACCCACAGCCCTCCCACCAGACAGCACAGACTCCAGGGAACCTGGAAGTTCCACCCTCGAGTGGATTAGTCCTGGAAATCCAGACTAGCCCTTGGTATTATCTGATACCAAGTCTGGGGTGAGCCTCGGCCCCTGGCACAGAGTGCCAGCAATTCCCCAGGCTAGGCTCCGGCCTGCTAAGGTTTCCTAGCTCCCTCTGTTCGCCGAGACACCCGTGGGAGTGTTCAGAAGCGAATTAGCTTTGGAGATGGGTGAGCCTTTAACCTGACACTACTAACCTAAGCTTTGGGTTTCTGATTTAAAATTCTACACAGTCATTTCCTTCTGGCTTCTGAATGCCTGTGTGTGTATGTGTCTGTGCGAGAGAGAGCTGTGTGGGGGTGGGTGTGTGTGCATGTGTGTGCTTGTGCAGGTTTGCATGTGTTTGGTTTTGTGTTTGTTAGGTGGGCCTCATACATTTATAGAAAAAAAAATTGGCCTGCCCTATAGGGTTGGATTATGATCCCACTGCCTGTAAATCAAGGAAGTTCTGATTAACTTTTGGAGATAACCCTTAGCAAAGGGTGCTGAACTCACAGCAGAGAGTGGGATACATACCTTTGAGGGGTGACTTAAAAATTGTTACTCAAAAGAAAGCCTCTGTTTCTCGTCCTGGAGCAATAATCATTATTTTGGGGGGTTTAACTATGACTGTACTGCTGTTGACTGCTTTATAAAAGTTCTTTCCATAAACAAAGTCCCATATCATATATATATATATATATATAAATCCAGAGATCCTTTAGGCTATACCACATGCTTATGTTAGGTGAGCCCCCAGCTGCCTAACTCAAGTGTTAGCCTGAGAAAGAGGAAGAGAGGGAAACTGATACTTTGACAGTCTGCCGGGCCCAGGCCTGGGTACCTTTGGGGTCTCACACTGAAGGTGCATCTGCAAATCCTTTCATCACTGCTGATCAGCACTTTCAAGATTTCTTCATTAGCTTCATCTTAGCACACATGTGTGAGTTTAGAGCCTATTTTATTTATCCCTGGAAGTTTGTCCAGTGCCTGGACCCAAGGAGGAGCACAAAGGAAAAGTTCATGAAAGTGGTTTTACTGTTGCAGTATTTTCATTGTTTCCCCGGTTGTGGGTCACAGCCACAAGTCAGTGATTGTGTAGCTTCGGTAACAAAACTTTAACAACAACAACAAAAACTCTGTCTTGCTTTCTAGTAAAATTGAGAAGCAAAATGACTGAACAGCAACAGGGTCCCGTATTTTGATCGTTTTCTGAATCTTTGTATGGCTGATAAAAGATGGTGGAAGATGTAG